GGCGACCGCTTCCCCGTAAGAAAAACCAACCCAAAAAAAAAAAAAAAAAAAAAAAAGCCCTCTAAGAGCACCATTATCCACATTTCTCAGAGGGTAACCTCACTGTCTCCTTCCCTAGCACCTGTCAGGGAGCCTGACATGGTGGATGTAGGGGTGGTGGTGGCAGATTCTGAGAAGGACCCATGAGTGCAACCATCTCGATGGCAAAGGGAGCAAGGGCAGGCAGGAAGGAAGGAGGCGGTGCAGTGGTTAGTTCCTGCTGGGGACACTCCCTGCTGCTGGCCTGGTCACAGAGCCGAGGCCGAGGACCACACAGCTCCTCCACAAGGACGCTTGTCCTGCCTCCCCTCTTCCTTCCCATCTCCCTGCCCACGGACTGCTCTCGGCCCGGCCCTGGCCTTCCCGTCTGCTGTCCTCAGTACACCACCCGGGCCCCAGGGGAGAGCGGTTACGTGCCACCCTGTCAATTCTCACGTGTTCTTGTCTGAGGACGTCAGGGCGACCAGCTCGTAGATCTGGGGTGGGCCCAACTCGGAGGTGCAGATGATGAAGAAGGCCCGCTTATCTGGGTGAGGAAAGGTCGGGGTCTGTGTTGGGGGTGGTAGGCGTGACAGACCTGGGTCAGCAGAACCACTTGGGACCCACTTGCAGAGGGGAAAGAGGCAATTCTGGGCCCCCAATGTCATTGTTCACGGCTGCTCCTGCCATCACCTGCTCTGGTGTGTAGCATTTATAAAACCTTTTCGTTCCCTTCCATCTTTCTGATCACCCAGGAGGTGGGGTATCACCCACGTCATAGCTGAAGAAAGCTGGCCCAGAGGGTCTGGTCTCCCCACCGCCATGGAGCCCTCTCTCGTACACAGGCTCCACCCTCACTGGAACGCCTTTGTCCACAGGACTTGTCTCCATCTGCTGGGGGCTTCGGTCTTCTGCGACCAAGCCCTGCCCAGGCCACCCCTGCCCCAGGAAGGCATGTCCCATTCTTCCTGCCCAATCCCACCCTTCCCAGTCTTGCTCAGACATCCACAGCCCCTCCTGGGTATCCCTGCCCATTCAAACCAGCACGTCCCCTAAGGGCTGACACCCTGCTCCAGGCTGGCTATCTTCTTGGTCCCATCCACTCCCATCTGGGACCATACCATCCTGCTTAGACGGGATCAAGACAGGAGGAAAAAGGCACGGGTGGGGCCTGCAGGCCCCAGTGGCCCCCATCGCCTTGTGCTTACTGCACATGCATGAGAGGTCAGCAAGCCCCCAGTCAGCCGGCCGGGCCGGGCTCCTCAAAGGTACCTGTGGCCACAGAGCGGATGAGCACGGCGTTGAGCTTGAGCACGGGGCTGAAGGTCTGCTTGCTATCCGAGGAGCCCACAGCCGTCTTGCTGTGGCACTTGAGCAGCAGCTTCTCGTCTTGCTTCTGCAGCAGCACCAGGAGGTCCTCCAGCAGCAGCACGTGCAGGTCTGTGGGTGTGGGCGAGGCTCCCTGGTGCCGGCTCGTACCTCACGAGCATGGTGGGGGTCACAGGCTCCTGCACGCCTGCCCCTGCGTCCTGGTGGCCCTGGGAGTCTGGGCGCCCCAGCTCTTTCCACTTCTCCCCAGCTGCTCCTTCCTGCACTGCCGTCCCAGCAGCACCTCAGTGTCTCCTTCCGGCCACTTACTACAGGCTCCGGGACACAGGAAGCAAAAGGCCGCCCACCAGAGACATGGGTCCCTCACTCGGGTTCCCTGGCACATACCCAAGGTCTTATCCTTGCTGATCCTCCAGGTCAGGGGCCCCTCGTGGACCATCCTTCTGGTTGTAAGATCCAGGCTCTGTTAGGGAGACACCATTCACTCATTCCGTCTGCAAGTACCTGAGAACCTACCAGGGGCCAGCCCTGGTGCCAGGAGCTAGGAGTCAGGGTGGGCAAGGCTCAGCCTTTGCCCTGAACTCTTGGGGAGAGAGATGAGTGGAAAGAAAACCATAAGGGCCAGGCGGCGACATAGCGGACAGGCAAGTGGGTCAGCTGGGGCAGCCCTGGAGTGCATCGGGCATGGCAGGCACACGCACTCACAGGCTAGGCTGGCTCAGACAGGAGTAGGGCCTAACTCAGACCCTTTTGGGGTTGCTGTCTCTCCCGTGGAAGGAAAAAAAAAAAAAAAAAGACAGGGCAACCATAATGTCCACGCCATGTGCTATGCCGGGGATGCGCTGATGGCCCTGGTCTGGCTCTCCCCTCCACATCTTCCACAGGCCGCTCCTTCCAAAGATCACTTGTGTCTCCTGCCCATACCCTCGCTCCAGTCCCGTCCCGGGGACGTCCCCTTCAAGTCCCACCCTGGGCTGTGTCTAACATCTCACCTTCACCTGGCAGGCTGGTCCACCCTGTCCATCTAGGGATGGGATGACCATGACAACAGGATGCGAGTCTTCCAGGGCCTGCTGCACCACCTATCACAGACAGGCCCCTCTCCTACCTCCAAGACCCTCTGCGTCCCACCCAGTTCTGCCTGAGGGCTCCTGAGAAGTGTGTGTGGGAGAGGCTGACCGCACAGTCCCTGCATCCTACCTTGAACTCTGCTGCCAGCGGGTTGCTGGCCCTCTCCAGGGCGGTGGCGTCTAGCCGTTTCTGGTAGCCCTCTAAGCGGTGCCGGTTCTCGGTCTGCTTCACTGCCTCATTCACGTACTTGAGGATCTCCCGGCACTGGTCGCGGGCCCGGCAGAGCTTCTCATGCTCAGAGGAGCTCCCTACCAAACACAGAGTCAGGGGCTGGTGGGGGGCTCTGTCCTGAGCCAGCAGGTAGGGGTGCAAGTAAGCCAGCTGGCCTACTCTGAGGTCTCTAAGGTTAATGCCACCGAGCACCCTTGGGCTTCAGACAGCTCCCGGGAATTCTTGCCTGGACTACGCCAGCTCCAGGGACACGGGCAGGGCTGTGGGGGGGCGGCGATACCTGTGCTCCAGGAAAGCCTGTCCAAATCAGGCTGAGGCTCCCCACACCGCTCTGTCCCGACTCTAATATACCAACCTCCAGGGCAGGGAAAGTCACTCAGGAGCCCAGGGGCAATGACAACTTGGGGACAGACCCCCTCATTTGGCTTAGCCTTCGTCATCCTCCTAGCATCAGGGTCTTTCTGCACCGCACAGCAGAATCCAGCAGGGGGTTGAGTGGGTGCTGGAATCTACCATGGCCACTGGTGTGGGACCACCTGCACCCAGAGGACCAGTGTCCTCAAGTGCTACCTGGTGCGCCACCGGTGCATCTTCTGACTGGCACAAAGGCCTACACCCTTCTGCTGCTGAGCACCTCATATAAGGTGACTTTGAAATGCCATTGTGGAAAATGGCATTCAAGTACCAGTTTATCTTGGTAAAAAAAAAAACCCAAAAACCTGTGAAATCCACGCAGTTTTTTTTTCTCATAATACATAGTTTATATGAACTTTGTAAAACCCTTCATAGTTGCCTTTTTTTTTTTTTTTCTTTTTTAAAGTTTTGTTCTGGGGCGCATATTCTTGTTGAGAGACAAGAGACGGGTAGGGAGAAAGTGTCCCAGGAGGGATGCCCATGCCACCATTCCCTTGCCTCCACTCTCTGGGGATTTCGGGCACACATGCGAATGTACCCAGTGCGATTTTCAAGCTGCCAGTCTGGGACTCGAACCCTGTGATTGGCCAAGTGAGATCCAGCCACCTCAACCATCATGCCAGCTTGCCCAGATCCTTAGTATTTTTTAAAGCTCGTTTACAATCACTTTCTTCGAGATGCCCCGTAACAGAACAAAGATGAAGCACGGGAGACCGCAAAGGCGCAGTGACTGCGTGTGACGGGCGGGCTGGCCCTCCCCGCCTACCCTCCGTGTGCTTGATGATGCTCTCCAGCAGCAGGGGGTACTTGGTGAGCCGCTGCATCTCCGAGATGATGAGGTCTCTAAGCTGCAGCCGCCGGCACTGAGGGTGGCTCTCGGCCTCCTAGACAGCAGAGCACAGACAGGGTGAGGTCAGCTCGGCTGGGGGATGGCTTAAGAGCTCAGGACCCAGACAGGTGTGAAAATGCCAAACAGGCCCTACCCCTGGAGAGGTCACTCACAAACCTCACAAAGGTGGTGTCAAATTCCTCCTTAATTGTTCAGGGAAGAGCTGCTGCTGGCCGGGGACAACACCCCAAAGAAAGGAGATGGTCGAACAGAAGAGCAGGGACTATCAGTACTTCCATTTTTACAGACAAGCAAACTAAGATCCTTCGAAGTGGGCGCAGGGACAGGCAGGTGAGCCAGACCTCTGAGCAGTGTGCCCTCCAGTACAAGTGGCCTCTAGCTCTAGGCTGGCCGATGCCTTCCGAGTGCCGGTGTGGGGGGTGGGGAGTGGGTGCCAGGGCAGAAGGGTCACCCTCCACAGCAGAGAGAGGAAGCCAGCAGCAGGAGGGCCCAGGAGCTCCCTGGTGAGCCTGAGGGGGGCATGGGCCAGACGCACCTGCATGAAGAGCTGGAAGCGGCTCTCCTTGCGCTGCTTGGTCTTGATCAGCTCCAGGGCGATGGACTGATGGGAGCAAAACTGTGCGGCCACTTGCTGGAGCTCTTCCCGGGCGGCACCGTCAAACTGAAGAGGCAGAATGCATGGCACAGGCTATACCCTGCTGGGACCAGCCCTCAGCTTGTCCCCTCTTCTGCCAAACTCCCTAGGTTTGGTAAGGGGATGCTGCCCCCACCAATTTCCTCCTGGCCAAGCAGTAGGAGGTGGAGCCGTACCCGAGCCAACATGAGGTCGCTGATCTCTCTGATGATGGGGCCCTCTTCCCGGAGCTTCTTCATGGCCTCACACCAGGAATCTGGGCAAGGGGAAGGGAGAGAGATGACTGCGGTGAGCCAAGCTGCCCGACCCTTTGTGATGGAGAAAAATGGAGTCATTGCCCGCAGTGCTGTGGGGACGGGCCTGGAAGCCAGGTGACTCTGGGGCAGCTGCTTGCTGCGCTGGTTCAGGATGACCTGCCTCTCACCAAGGAGGACCTGCGAGAACTGTTACTCAGGGTAGTCTCGGCAGGTGGGCCAGCCCCCAGTGAAAGCTGAAGGCTCCTCACTGTGGATCTCGATGAGCTCTGGCAAGTTAGGAAAGAGCTGGGCCAGCTCCTCTCGGGGCATCAGGTTCTCCTTCTTCATCCTCTGGTAGAAGATGAGGTCCAGGACCCGCAGCGTGCGCAGGTGAGATGCTTCAGTCACAAACAGCTCTGAGTGGGGGTGCGACAAGGAAGGGTGGAACGAGTGAGAAACAGCTCAGACACATTCGCCGGCACTACTTGGCCCCCCAGGCAAGTCCACTTTTGGGGGAATCTTACAGCTGCAGGCAGCATGGCCTGATCCCGGCCTGTGGCCCCCCACCCTGTTCAGCTCTTCTCACCCTGTGTGTCTCAGAACCCGTTCCTGCAGGTGTGGGAGAAGACAGGAGCAGGGCGCAGGTCCTCACCATTAATGACCTCCTGCCGGTCGATCTCCCTCTGGGTTAGCCCGGCCACCACGTCCTTGCCCACTGTATGCTGCCAGTTCTGCGCATCTGGCTCTGGCTCCAGGTCGGACAGCTGGCCCAGGTCGTCCTCTAGGAGGTGGGGAAGGAGGGGGTCTGTGCAGAACCCCAAGCTGGGGGACTCAATGCTCCTGGGGAAAAACGGCAGCTTAGCGTCACTCAGGAGGAAGGATCTAAACGTCGGCTGAGCCTCCCGCTCCTGCCCCCTGCGGGCCTGTGCCCCTGTGAGCTGGTGGGCCATCGAGAGGAGACACACACCCCAGACACTTGGGCTGGGACACAGACACACCAAGCCATGGTACTGCTGTGCCTGTCACTCACCGGCGGCCCATTTTGGGGGTGAAGGGAGGTGTTGGGTTCTCAAGAGACCTGTGGAGAGAAGGCCACCACTCAGCAACCCCCTCTCCCTGGCCCTGCCCCGAGAAGCCAAAGGATGGGGCGTGAGCTCTGGCCACCTGGTGGAGAGGCTGGAGGCAGAGGAGGAGGCTGACTGGTGAAGGCGAGTAGCCTCTGCTGCGGCGTCCATGTCCACGTCGCTGCGGGACCGGGGCACGTTCTCTGTCTTCCGAGACCGCTTCATCTCTTCCCGGCCCTTGAGGCTCTCAGAGCGGCCCAGGCGGATCTCTGAGCGTGAACTGGGGGGAAGGGACAAGACTGGGGTCTCACATTCCAGTCAGCTGTCACCTGCTGCCCTATGGCAGGGGAGCCCCAAGGCGACAGGTTTCCCAGCCCCCCCACCAGGCCACCTTCTCCCTGACGACCACTCTGGCTGCTCTGCAAACTCCTCCCTGCCCCTGTCTTGCCTGGTAAGTCTTTCATCTTCCTCCTGGCCCATTAGGGGCAGCAAGCTGAAATCTGGGGCTAACGGAAGCAGACAAGTGGTGTGTCCAGAGGCTAAGACACTAAGCTCCTACTGGGAAGGCGGTGGCTATCACAGTCCTTCCCGGGGGACTGCAACATCCACCTTCTTCTGGCTCTGGGGCCACCTACTGGCCAGTCCACCTTGGTCCTCCTCTGGACTGGATCAGCTCTCTCGGTTCAAAGGTCTTCGCAGGGGAAAGTGCAGTCACTACCTTCATGCTCTCATTCTAGGATTCTCCACTGCCTGCCAGAAAATCCTATCTGGGGGTAGATTCCAGCCCCTCCAGCACCTTTCCTAGGCTTCCGTTTCCTCTCTTGGGAGCAGACAGGCATGGGTGGGCGCCTACATGGGCCTGCTTTCTGACAGGCGGGAACTGGCTCCATGGCTTGCCATGCTTGGCTACAGAGTGTCCCTGGGCCTTGATGCGATGCTCGTGGCTGGGCCTGCTCTCTGTTGATTCCTGCAGTGCATGAGCCTCAAGCCAGCTGGCATCTCTGACCCCTAGTTGCCCTGGGGTGGCCCCCTTCCAACTGCCCCGACTGTGGCCCTGCTGGGCTGGTTCTCTGCCGACATTATTATTAATCTACATCCTGCTCTGCTTCTGGGACCAGAGGGCCTGGAGATGTCTGGAGAGCTCTTAATAGCACAGCGGGTTGCTGCTGCAGCGAGGGAGCCAAATGTCCTGGTCTCAATTCATCACGTCTCTCCAAGCTGCCAGGAGATCTGGAATGGGGCTCACCTCTGAGGGGCCTGGGTTAGAAGGCACACTGCCAATTGACCTCCTGGTAAACTCACCCCCCTGGACATCTGTCGTAACAATTCCACCCCAACCTAACTGAAAATACTGCCCACCGGCTCTGGAGAGGGCCACTTCAGCATCACGACAAACCTCATCGGTGGGGGTGCCAGTTGCAGAGCTGAGCATCCAGACCTGGCTGCCCACCGAGAAGCAAGGCACACCTCTTCTCTGGCCCTAGAGCCCCAGGGAACTATCTTCTGGATCAAGGCATCTACAACCACTATTAACCCATTGGGCTGCTACCACTTTTTTCTAAGTAACTATTTATTCCAATTTATCGAATTTTTTTTTTTTTAGTTTGACCAGAGAGAGAAGGAGAGAGAAAGAGAAAGCTACCAGGTCTGGAACGGAACTGCAGTTGACCATATGGGAGTCCAGTGCCTTAACCACCACACCACCTGCTGGCCCTACTGCTACTATTTCTCCTGACATGGTGGTTGAGTTTATAATCAACCAATCCAAGTCACTCCTGCTTCAAGTAGGAGGATCCTGGTGACTGTCTTACAGCAAATTTACCCAGCAGTATCAGGGATGCAAGTTTGTAAATAATGACAAATGTTTTCTAAAAATGCATGTCATATAATCTTAAAATATACGGCATTGTCTACAAGATTATGCTGGCCACAGTAATCACATAATTTCTGTATTTATTTATCTAAAAATTATTTTTATTTAATTTTACTTATGATTGCCATTCTTTAATTTGCTACAGGACATGTGTGCTCAAGCAGAGAGAGGGAGAGAGAGGGAGAGAGACTTTCTCTTT